AACATCGTCGTGTTCGCTCTGTCCTCTTGTATCGCTTTCAAAACATGCGCGCCGATTTCTACAGCGCGCGATGCAATGACTCTGTCGTACAATACAATGAGTACATCCGGAGAAGTTCTAGCGGGGAGTTCTCTCGCAAGGCGAGATTCCAAACCGTGAATTCGCGATGCGAGGACTACAGTCTTAACCAGTCGGCCACACAGGCACGCTATAGCAGATCATAGCGTCGCCTTCTACAGCATAGCATAGAAATGAGAGAGAGAGAGCAGTCAATGAAAGATGAAAGGGATAAAAAGGGACGCTATTTTTGCCTCCCGTCGTGGGGGCATGGCTAAGCGCCTAGCAAGGAGCGGAAAAGGCACAGGAGCATGAGGAGAACAGGTGTTACAGGGCGAGGAGAAGGAAGAGGAGTAAGGAAGAAAGTGGAGTACAGCCTAGAAAAAATGAAAAATTAGAATGAAAGGCAGAAAAATAATAGAGAGAAAGTGGAGAAATCAAGAGCGAGAGACTCCTTGTGTGAGTGTCCTGCTCTCGGTGAAGCTCACAAGCGGTTCGTCAAGCAATACCGTCTCGTGGAACTGCCGTGTGCGACCATGTAGGACCTCCTACACTTCACCGGCTACAAAGACATTCGCCGCTCTGCCCTTGCAGCCTCACTTGAGTTTGTAGAGGATACCAACTTGACCGAGCGCCTTTTATAAGCCGCTCGCCATGGTGAAGCATGTCCTCCTCCGATCTCGCTAGGTTTTTTTTTCTCCTCCTTGATTTAATACCCCCCCCCCTCTTTTCTTTTACCCTACTTTCGTTTCTTCACTCTCACTGTCCCCTCATTCCCTTCTCGCCTGTGAGTTGTATTGGTTGAGGTCTCCTCACTAAGGGACAGTTATCGTGCCCTCCACACCCCACTTTCTTACTTTTTCGCCTTTTTTTCTTTTCATATTCTCAAAAAATTACGCCCCCCCCCCCCACGAGAGAATGAAATAGAAATAAAAGAGGAAGCAAGAAATACATAGAAAGAGAAAAACTAAGCGGAAGAAAGACAGAAAGACAGAGAATAAGAAATACATTGGTTAAGATAGAGAGCAAAAGAGAAATAACAGGAACAAAAACCACGCAAAAACACTGAGAAGACCGGAAACAAACTAAAGATAGACAGACAGGTGGACGGATTCATGGACGGACGGACAGACAGACGAACAAACGGATGGTCTAATAGACGCGCGAATAGATGGACGGATAGACGGCCAGACGCACGGATGGACGGATGGGCACACGGACAATTCATCCCACTCATCATCCTTCACTCCGTGGATATACTGTGATTTATTTTGGCACTGTCTAGCCCAACTTTGTCTCCTTATTATGCCAAGTCCTTTCAGTGGAGCCCAGGATTACTGGCCCCACCCACCAGCTTCAAACCCTTATTTTATTTTTATCACTGTCTTAAAAGTTTTTCTATTCATCACTGGGCGTTGTATTTCTCATGCCCCCACCCTTCACTGATGATGAAAGGGCGTTTTCAAGAGCGGCTATATATCTTCACAAAGGGGTACACATTGAAAACTCGATTTTGCAGTGCACTCTTTAATCTCATCATCAAAATGAACTTTACGAATATCAATGGCGTTTCTGTAGATAGCAATGGAACAGTGTGTTTTGATGAAGCAACAAAGGCCCACCCTGTCTGATTATCACCCCTTCTTTAATGCATACGGCTCCAGAGCGGTGAACGCCATTCACTTCCGGTTCTGGGGAGCGTGGTATAGAATGAATGGTGCTGTTAATGCATTGACTGGTTTAGGGGGGAGTGTTTGCTCCAAATCAGCCTGTGGCACGGCTGTGAATACAAAGGATCCCGGCGAACACGGCTCGGTTTACACGATGCACACGATGCATCAAGTACAACACCCATAGCTGTATTTCTGTAACAGGCCTTGTCGACAAAACGAAACACAATGCCGACCATATATATATATATATATATATATATATATATATATATATATATATATATGGATGAAATAGATGATCAGAGTTTCTTCCGGCTACCGTAAAAAAAGTTATAAACTTCGAGAATAGTGCAGTATAGGAAACAAAACAATAAAATATTTATTTAATCCTAACAGTTTCGGCTGGTGGACCAGCCTTCTTCGGAGGATGTAAGTGAAATGATACAAGTTCCCGTAGCAGAGGGTCACCCTCACAGTTTAAAGACCCTCCAAAAAAAAGAGACAAACGGGCGAACGAGGTAGCAACAGACAACAAGAAGCAGAAGAAGGAGAGGAACTAGAAAGGAGCGATGGAGAGCCGCCGGAAACGAGCGGGTAATTCTGGCATTGTTACTGGGTATAGGTAAGACGCGCCGCCAGCGGAGGCGACCAAGAAAAACGGAAAAATGTGGAACATGTTGCCGCTTACTCGCATCCCACACATGGATCGAGTTTAAGTTCACGTGGTTCGGCGGCTGGCCCGTGGCATCGGGCCACACACAGACATTTCTGCAGCGCGCGATGCAATAACTCTGACGTACAATAAAATGAGTACCACCGGAGAGGTTCTAGTGGGTAGTTCTCTCGCGGTGTGTGTGTGTGATACACCTTCCCCAACCTTTCAGCAAGCTCCCACTGCAGTGGACACAAGGAAGCACAGCAGTGCAGCGGGGAGTCCCCCAGACACAGAGGGCTTCCAGGTGGTCACTACCAAAAGTGCCCGACGCCGTGCCAGGGACCTTGCTGCTGCTGCGGCCCTCCCGGTCGACCCTGCCATTGTGGGCACAGTTCTGTTCCGGCCGTCAGCCCCGGAGGTACCTTCAGTGGATCCCCACGCCTCATCCTCGCACAGGCGCTCTCTACAAGGCCCGGCGTGGCCGCAATTCGCGTTAACCAAAAACGCAACATTGTGGCTGCTGACGCTACCACGCGAGAGTGCCTGGAGCAGCTCCTGACCATCAAGGAGCTAAAGGGGATCCCCGTATCTGCCAAGGAACCCGCTGACCACAAGACTAGCATTGGGTACCTACACGGTGTCGACGGGGAGCCTGCGGTGGACAGCCTGCTGCCTGGGATCCAGTCGGCCGTTCCGGTGCTCTCTGCTGCCAGGTAGGGGCGAACCGTGACGCTCCGCTTCGCCGGCCCTGTGCCGCCGGAGCACGTGTCTCTCTTCTTGGTCCGTTTCCCAGTGCGGCCAGCCAGACCCCGCCCTCTGCAGTGCCGGCAATGCGGTCGGTTCGGCCATGTGAAGGAGAGCTGCAGCTGGCCAGGCAACTGCATCAGATGCGGCCGGACCCACCCTGGAGAGAGCTGCAAGCAGACCCGGTGTGTCAACTGCGGGGGCCCTCACTCTGCAGACACCCAAGAGTGCCCTCGGTGGCAGGAGCAGCGGAAGATTGCCACAATCATGGCATCCTCCCCAACCATCCTCTCGAGGCGCACAGTGGCAGCAGCGGTGCGAGAGGAGATTCGGGAGGCGCGGACCTTTGCAAGCGTGGTGAAGGGCCACCCCGCGCCGCCCCCCTCCGCCCAGACCCATCCCGGCGCCTCGAAAATCTCGCCGCCAGCCACTCCAGGGACTGCAGTCCACCAGCGCTGCTGCCCCTATGGCCCTGCCAGTGGCCACTGCTGTTCCTGAGGCCCCTCCTGCTGCAGCTGCCACTCTCGCGGCCCAGCCTGCAGCTATTGCCCCCGGAGGCCGGCCTGCTGTGCCCATGGCTCCTGCGGCCCCGCCTGCTGCGACAGTAGAGTTGCCTCCAGCTGACCCGGCCTGCCAAATCATCGCCACCCTGCTGAACACCCTGCAGTCTGTGGGAGAGTCTCTTCCCCTGGACCACCCTCTTCGAGCCATCTGCTTACAGACGGGAGGCTCTCCACTCCCCACAACCAATCATGGCTAGCTCCCCACCCGGAACGAGCCGAGGCCGACGCCCTAGCGTTCTGCAGTGGAACGTAAACTGGCTGGGGCGGCGAAGAGACGACCTGGCAGAGCACCTTCTGCGGAGCGACTACGACGTGCTTGCACTACAGGAGGTGTATGCCCCGGCGGAGGACCTTCGCCTGCCAGGGTACGTTGGATACAGCAGCAGGACTGGCTGCACTCTGGCGACCTGCCCTGATGCCCCCTGCCTGAACGACAGCCACCAGCAAGGACGTTCCCGGTGTGCTATCTACGCCAGGCGCGAGCTCCCGCAGGCAGAGGTGAAGGTGGCTGACCTGGCTGGAGGCCCCTTTGAATGTTGTGCCGTCCGCATCCACATCGGGGGGCAGGACACCACTGTGGCCAGCATCTACGTTCGGCCGGGCCAGCCCTGGGACCCCAGATGCCTTCGTCAGCTGCCGCATCGCCTGGGCAAGGAGTTCCTGCTTTGCGGGGACGTCAATGCGAAACACCCAGCATGGGGCGGCCGCAGGACTGACGCTCGAGGCAGAGAGCTGCGTGATGTCCTCCAGCAGCTGGGGCTGGCGATCCTCAACTTGGGTGCCAACACCTTCCTCCGTCGTGGGCAGCAGGTCACCAGCACTGCCATAGACCTCGGCGTTGCCACGGAGGGTTGCCAGTATGCCTGGTCGCCATTCCCGGACACTTGGGGCTCGGACCACCTGCCCATCCTGCTGTCTCCCTTCGGAGGTAGGGCTCCACGGGACCGCGAGTACCGCGTGGTGGACTGGCAGGTCTACCGGAAACTACTCCAGCAGGACACGAGCAGCGGGGACCTGCTGCAACTGGTGGCCCACAGTGTGATGGCAGCAACGGTCACTGCCAAGGTTCAGCAGGGACAGCCCGTCCCAGACATCCGGCACCTGGCTCTGAGGGCGGCACGGCGACGTGCAGAGCAGCAAGCCCTGAACGAACGCCAACCGGAGCTCTGGACGGTCTTCCGGTGAATCGATGCCGTCTGCAGACGCCACGCACGCAGGTGCCGGAACCAGGGCTGGCAGGGCGTGTGCGCCTCGATCAACAGCTCGCGGGATGGGACGAAGGCCTGGCGCCTGCTGAAGTGCCTGCTGATGGCGCCCCGGGCCCTGAACCAGGGACTGTCCCTGGCCGTTCACCTGTCGACGACGGCTGTGAACCTGGCAGAACGGCTGGCTGACCAGTTTGCTGCCAAAGATAGAGCCCCACTGCCTGCTGCACCACCGCCTGCTGCCCTGCCTTGCCCTACCTCTTGTCACCATCCCAGATGGGTGTCCGCGCAGGTGCGGGAGCTGTGCGAAGAGCCCATAGCGATACATGAGCTGGTGGCAGCCCTCGAGAGGACCAAGCGACGAAGTGCTCCAGGGGCCGACGGCATCACCTTCCAAATGCTCCGCAACCTGGATGGAGGTGGCCGTCAACGACTCCTGGAATACTACAATGACGTCTGGTGCACCGGAGCCTTACCCAAGTCCTGGCAAACTGCGGTGGTGGCGCCTATCCTGAAGCCCCGGAGGAAGGCCAGGGCTCTCTCCTCATACCAGCCAGTGTCTCTCACCTCCGCGCCCTGCAAGGTGATGGAGAGGGTGGCTCTGGAGAGACTGGAGTGGATTGCCGACCACCTGGGCTTCTTCCCGGAGCAGCAGACGGGCTTCAGGCGGCACCGGTGCACGGCAGATTCCATCTCGGATGTCGTCGCTACCCTCGAGGACGCCAGGAGCAGCGGGGACGTGGCCATGCTGCTGCTGCTGGACGTGGAGAGCGCCTTCGACGGACTCCCACACGTGGCGGTCGAGGCGGCCCTGGACCGCCTCGGCATCAGCGGTAGCCTCCGAGGCTTCGTGACCGCCTTCCTGTCCGGGAGGACCTTCCGCGTCCGCGTTGGAGGGGCAACCAGCCAACCCAGGGTCATCACTGCTGGTGTCCCACAGGGTTCAGTACTGAGCCCTTTCCTCTTCAACATCGCACTGGCAGGACTTCCGGCGTCCCTCCCAACAGACACCAGGTTCCCGGCCCGCTGCTCTATCTACGCAGATGACGTGGCACTCTGGGTCCGGGGACCAAGGCGGTCCATCCCCGCCATCAGGAGATCACTGCAGGCGGTCCTCGATGCAGTGGTAGCCTACCTCGGAGGCATCGGGCTTAAGGTCTCTGCCACAAAGACCGAGGCCCTGCTGATTCACCCGCTGGCGGCAGCACGCACCCACGTGAGACGGCTGAGGATTGGCAATCGCAGCCTACCTTGGAGGTTGGTGGTGAAGTACCTGGGCCTCACCATCGACCACCGACTCACCTGGATCCCGGCTGCCAAGGCTGCTGCCACCAAGGTGCGGCGCGTCCAGGGCGCCATCAGCAGGCTGCAGCTGCGTGGCCGCGGCTGCTCCACCAAGTGGGCACTCCGGCTCAACCAGGCTGCGGCGTCCTCGGCCCTCCTGTACGCCTTCCCGCTGGTGAGCCTGACACCGGCCAGGAGACGCCTGCTGGAGGGACTCCACAGGGGTGCACTGAGGGCCATCCTGGGGCTTCCCAAAAGCTCGCCGGTGGCAGCAACTCTCGCAGAGGCAGGAGAGTGGCCCCTGTCGTTATGTATGCTGCAACGAGCGCTGGGCCACATTGACCGCCTTCACCGCGCCACCGACGGCAGGGCCCTCCTGGAGCGTCTCCGCAGCCAGCCAGGATCACGGATGGGAGGCCTCTGCCTGCTGTACCACCAAATGGTCCCAGATCCGCCAGTTCCGGTTGCCTCTCCACCGCCTCACCACCAGCCACCAGAGGTCCACCTCTGCTTGGAAGGGGCAACCAAGCGACGAACGCCTGCGGCCGCACTGCAACAGGCGGCCTTCTGCAAGCTCCAGGAACAACTGGAGGGACGGCTGCAGGCGTTCACGGACGGATCTGTGATGCCAGACGGGACCGCAGCGGCCGCATGCGTAATCCCGTCCAGAACCAACAGCCGGCAGTGCAGGCTTCCCTTCCCGGCGAGCTCCACGGCTGCGGAACTGGCTGGACTGCATCTCGCAGTAGACCTGCTGCCTGAGGACATCCCCCTTCAGCCGGCCGCGGTTCTGTGCGACAGCAAGGCGGCCCTGCAGACCCTGGCCAACTCCCGCCGTGTCGGACTGACGGCCTGCCTCCTGAGAGCCAAGGTTCGCGCCCTCACCGACGCCGGGGTGTCCGTCTCCTTCCACTGGCTGCCCTCCCACGTGGGCATCGCTGGAAACGAGAAGGCGGACACCCTCGCCAAGGCTGCCCACCAGCCTGGTACTCCCTACTCCTGTGCCTTGGCGGCCAGGGACTATTCACAGGCCCGTCTCAAGAGGCTCCTCATCACAGTCCACCCAGACCCGAGGGTGGCCGGCGGGCGAGGACCAAAGCCTCTCCCAGAGACGGGCCTCACCAGGAGAGAACGGGCCTCCCTATTACGACTGCGGACTGGCTGCGTATGGACGGTGGCCCGCCGCCACGCCAAGGGCCTCTGTCCCTCCCCGGCCTGCAGCCGCTGCGGAGACCCAGAGACCCTCGAACACCTCCTCTGTGCCTGCCCTGGCTTAGCACAGGAACGCTTGAGGGCCTACGCGGCCTACAGGAGACAGGGTCTGCCCGTCTCCACCCTGAAACACCTGCTGTTCCCGTCTCGTTCACATCCAGCAGCACTCCGCAGCCTGGCGGAGTTCGTGGAGGAGTCGGGAATTGCCGCCTACCACTGATCCCAGGAGCCATGCTGCCCTTGCCCTTGCCGACGGCCTGCTGCTCGCGCTGAAGCGGCCCGGACATCCCTCTCTACACTCCACCACTATTTCTCCTATCCTCTTTCATCCCCCTCTACACCACCCAAAGGCGCTGCGCCGTGTCGCCTGTAGGCAGACAGAAATTAGGTGCCTTCTTCGTTTTCCACATGAACCACTACCACCACCACCATTTCACTTACATCCTCCGAAGAAGGCTGGTCCACCAGCCGAAACTGTTAGGATTAAATAATATTTTATTGTTTTGTTTCCTATACTGCACTATTCACGAAGTTTATAATATATATATATATATATATATATATATATATATATATATACATATATATATATATATATATATATATATATATATATATATATATATATATATATATATATATATATATATATATATATATATATATATATATAGGCATGGTGGTAGAGTGGCCATACGTTGCAAGTAGTCAAGTAGATCCTCCGTGAGCAGTCACAACGTGATTTATTTCGAAGTTTCAGCCAGAGTCTGGCCTTCATCAGGATTGAGGGTACAGTTTGTTGGTGCTCAGCTTTATACAATCTTAAATCAAAAGGGGAGAGAGAGAAAGAGAAAAAAGAAGAAAAAAAGAAAAAGAGGAAAGAAAAGAGATGAAAAAAAGAAAAATAGAGAATATAGGGTGGACTCTCCCGGGTGCCCCCTTTCACTCTCCTTCCCCTTCCCCTCCCTCTATCTCTCTCTTCTCCTTTTCCCCTTTACGATGTCTGCGGTCGGCATATCCTTCGATCCACTAAAGTATTGTTCCCGACCAGACGGCGCCGCATGGCTCTGGCGGTTCAATGTGGGGGAAAAGTGCTTTCTTAAGAAGTTTAAGCCTTTAACTACTCAGCGCCTCGTCGACATCTCGTCGTAGGAAAAATTCGGCAGATCCCACGCATCTGCGAATCGACGTTACGGGAAGCATGCGGAGGTAAGGTGACCGTGTTGCAATTTTATTGTGTGACACGTCATGAAATGACGCTAAATGTATGTGCAAACGTTGCACACACAGACATATGTTGAAGAGTTGCAGATGTTTATATGACCAGTTATTCGCGCTTGCGCAACGATGCCAACTGGAACATACGTGTTAGCCACACCAGAAGCTTGTATGAAGCGCTGATGCTCACGAGGATGCTGGCCCTGAACACTGCCACATAAATCAACTTCAGCGCATGGCAACTAACCACAATTGACGTTAAACCGACGTGACGAATATATGAAAGGAGCACATGTGTAATGTTTATAAAATTGGGTAGGCAGCACTGCAACCACTATTGACATTTCACGAAGATTAACGTCTATTTGAAAAGTAGTTCCGATAACTGGCATAGCTCTGTGGTAAAATGCTTCATTGCCACGCCGAATGCTTGGGTTCGAGTTTAGCTGGGACCCTGACATGTATTCTTGGCATTCGTGGGGTCGATGTTACTGATTTTGGATATTTCTTAACGCTCGCGCGTTAAATTTGCCCATGTGTGTTCTCGTCGTTCCTGGGCAGATACTAAGGCCCAAACAACGAAACGTTCCTTTCCTTTGACCGCGTCCTCTCCTTACGTGAGGCTTCCTTACAACCAAGTACCGACGGAGGAAGCCAGCGTACTCTGAAAGCTCCCTTAACCCGTCCTCGCGGGAGGAATGGTTGCCGCGCTCCTGCGTTCGAGATTATCGAATATAAGCTTTGCTCGCAAGCGTTTATTCTGTAAAAAAAAGTTGGGTCACCACATCACTTCCAAATTGAAGTGTTAATATAGAGACGCGTGTACGCTTTCTTCCAACTACGATTACTGAATGTGAAAAGCCACCGTAGTCGAGCGCAAAACGTGGTGCATTCTAGCAACACTAAAACGCCCCACGGAGGAAGGAAACAGGTTTCCTTTCCTTCCTCCGTGGTGCAGTGCACGCACGCTCGCCGCTCGCATCTCCTCACAGGGGTGGGGTGAGAGGGTTGCCTCGAAAACGAAAACATCACGTGGGCTAGCTGTGAGGCGAAGCGCTCGTTCAGGGCAAGGAGCGGACCTAAGGGCGCACGAAGGTAGCCCCAAAGCAACCTTAAGCTGAGGAAGCGCCAAGGAAGCCTTCACCGAGGGCTCCTCAGGGAGGAAGCTTTCAGAGTGACATAAGGCGGCCTCACAAAAATGAAGGCTTCCTTACTGAGGAAAGGAACGTTTCGTTGTTTGGCCCTAAGTGTCAATCACCTGTGGCACATACCCGCATACCAGCAGTACATACCCGCCTGTGGGTATGTGCCACTGTCTGGCGTGACGTGTTTCACGACGTCCGTGATGAAATTGTGACTTTAATATGGTCTTGAGCAGTGCATGTTCTTCGTCAATCAATCGTACTCTTCCTTGCTAATTTGCTTCATGCCAAGTTAAGGGGGTGACCACGAGAGCACCCAAACGTAAGCGGCTAGATAGATAGATAGATAGATAGATAGATAGATAGATAGATAGATAGATAGATAGATAGATAGATAGATAGATAGATAGATAGATAGATAGATAGATAGATAGATAGATAGATAGATAGATAGATAGATAGATAGATAGATACGCTCAAAGTCGCCGAAGTTCACTAAAAAATGCTTCGCATTTAAAAGAGGGGCGCCGCGTATTGCCGCAGAGGTTGGCAAGCGGGTGCAATGTCAATTCTTGCCCGCTTCTGGATTACGCGTGCAGTAGGGGCCCCCCCCGATTGTGCACAGGGCTGCTGTTGGGTGATGTCATGCTTGGCACAATTGATTGGATAGTAAAGTAAAAACAGAAACACATGACAGCTGTACTTAGGAAGAGTAGTTACACTTGGAAATATTTTGAGTTGTCCAGTGCCCTTCGCAGCTGCAGTGCCGAGAACTCAGTTATTATTTTCATTATTGCCGTTATTGTTTTCTAATGCTTCAATTGCTGCAAGTGTACCCGGATTCTCATTTATTCCTCTATCGAGGGTGTTAAATCGGTGGATAAGGTATAACACTCATTGTTCACGTTCTCGCTTTGGTTTCAATCTCGTCTCTAAAAGTGTTATTGAGAGTTTTTCGAATACATGGTCGGGAAGATTGAGATGTTTTGATAGAGGTAGACTTGGTAGCAATCCGCCCCAAGTCTACCTCAATCAAAACACACACACACACACACACACACACACACACACACACACACACACACATATATATATATATATATATATATATATATATATATATATATATATATATATATATATATATATATATCAAACAGGAGAGGCACTATGAAATAGTGTTCGCAAAAAAAAGGCACCTACAGGATGCACGTAAACTAAACATGTATAGAATGAACAGAGACCTGACAGCCACAAAATAAAAGCTCTCAATTTCATCTGGCACAACTATCGCGCAACAATGATACGTTGCATTTGTCTTCGTACTTAGTCATGCTTTAGATAAAAAAAAGCTATCAATTCTGATAAAACAGAGTGGTATGGACAGATGAATACAGACTATTTACATAATCGCTGTGTGCGAAGCGGGTACAAGAGCGCTGCAGACCGTGTGCCTAAATAAACGCGGAAGCGCATCTCTGTGCAGGAAGTTGAGCACGCCTAATTACAGTTCTATTCCAGCAGTATCGTATTATTTCTATCAAATGAAACCCTCATGTCCTGGTGTGCATGGTGCCCGAGGCGTCCGGGCAGTCTTGTGCATTTATAACGCATGTTTCAGTTGAATGATGGAGAGATGAAATAGCGTCTCTGCGATGCAATATACCTTTAGCACCGTATACCGTCTGAAAACTATCTCCTTTAGCTTCTCCTCTAGAAGGCTTTGTCATAGTATAGTGAGATGTGGCTTGCGTACACATTCGTTACGGAAGTAATTGTGGAAGTAATACTGAAGCACAAGCACGTGTTTGAGATCTGATCCACCAGGTGCCACGACAATCCCAGAATATCACAAGAAAACTGTGAGCACTATATAAATACTCTGTACTAATTTTCATTAAGCATCCTGAGAGGTGATGGTCGCTTACCTCAAGTAATCCATGTCACCATATCGCATGTATTCAATCTACCCTAACCTCAAACAGAACGATAGATTCCATGCCCGTTTTATTTTTCGACACAATCGTAGGAATACTCGAAAAACCGGAAGCACTCAAACGGGAGTGCTTGGAAGAAAAACAATAGCACGGTGATAAGCAAGAGTGTCATTTACCACTTGTTTCAATAGCATGCAAAAAAAAGACCATCAAAACTGTTGCGTAGAAAACACGGTACGCCAGTAAAAAAAAAGTAAAACGAGTTGAAGGTGACCACGCTAAATCCCTACCCCCATAATAGAAAGCGGAAATTTCTAAGATTATTATCATTAGATGTTAACCACATTTTTGTTGAACTTCTACGGCGTGCTGAGTAGCTGCTACTGGAAAAAAATCACTAACGCAGCTCAGAATTTTTAAGCCATGTCCGCCGGAAGAAATAGGAGCTAATCAATAATATATAATTACGGGGACTCTGAGACCTACAACGTTTGGCTGAGTATAATACTAGACAATTGTCTAACAAACTACGATGAATAAACCGCAAATCAAAGATAAGCGCGTCATTATACACGTTGAAGGCAGACCAAGGCATTCCGTTCCGCGAATCGGAGCCTTTGAATTAACGGTGGCAGCTTCAAACCAGTGATTCACCTTATAGCAACAGCACATGGCCCATACTTCCATGGAGCAAGCACTCGCGGTCTTCTCCTTTCGATTGATTTCAAAAGTAAGCAAGATATATTTTCTGAATCGTTTGCCTGCTTACCACGCATTACGTCAGCCTTTTTCCACGAAGACCACAATGTCGCTGCGAACGACGCACAGCCCACCCTGAACCAGCTAGTGGAAAACGTCGTTGCGGATATAGCACATCTGGGCCAAGCAGTACCTCACTACTTCAAAGGAAACAGGAAAGAAAA